TGGATCTATGCAGGAAATAGCCCGACTTGATTATGTAAAGAGTTGTCACTTTGGATGGGCTAGCACCAGCAGGAGAGTGAATTTGTGTGGGGGGGTGGAGGGTGAGAAAACCTGGATTTGTGCTGGAAATGGCCCACCTGCTGATCACTTTAGATAAGCTATTACCAGCAGGACAGTGGGGTGGGAGGAGGTATTGTTTCATATTCTCTGTGTGTATATAAAGTCTGCTGCAGTTTCCACGGTACACATCTGATGAAGTGAGCTGTGGCTCACGAAAGCTCATGCTCAAATAAATTGGTTAGTCTCTAAGGTGCCACAAGTACTCCTTTTCTTTTTGCGAATACAGACTAACACGGCTGTTCCTCTGAAACCTGTCATTATAAAGTATGGGTTCCCCTCCAGCCTGGCTCCTAAACTCTAGCACACTAATGGCTGCCTAGAGTGCAGCCCTTCTTATGAAGGGGATTTCATCCACTGTTCTTAGACTTATGTGCCAAAGATTGTGCATAACCACACAGAAAGCTGGTGAGAATTTGCTGGCATATATAGGCCACCTGATTTTTGCAGCTAAATTAGCTTCTTTGTTGCATGTAATGAAGACTACTGTGCATGTGTGCAGCTAAATTAGCATTGTAGTTAACTGCCTCATCCCCAGAATTGCACTAAGGAAAGATATGCTGCTGGATAGAGCTGGTCAAAATTTTTGAATACACAGCTTTTTTAATAGAAAAATTACCTTTTTAAAATTAAAATATGTAGCAAAATTTTCATTTTTTGTGAAAGTTTTCACTATATCTCGTGATTTTTAAAAAATATTTTTCATTTACTATTTTTCCATTTTTGTTTTTTCCCATTCTTTTCTCTTTTCCTTTTTCCCCAGTTAGTTTTTGAAAATTGAAGCTTGGATTTTCAAAAGCACCCAAGAGATTTAGGGAGCACAAGTGAGGGACATAGGCACTGTTGAAAATCCCACAGTGAATTTTTAAAAAAAAATTAACAGAGAAAGAAAGCAAAACAACAGAAGATAAACTTTTAAAAAAAATGGAAAATGGGTTCATTTGAAACCCTTCAAAACAAAACTAATTTCAGCATTTTTTTTTCACTTTTAAAAGATATTTGAAGCAGCTCTACTGGCGGTTGAAAAGGAAATTTATAGCTGTGACTGACTATTATTACAATGTACACAGTAGATAGAGGGAAACTGTCAATAAAAGGTGTAAAGACCAAAGTTTTTCTAGATGTAATTGAAATCAATGGAGCCAAATCTGTTTCCATCAGCAGGCACCTTGGGCCCAAGTTTATAAAGATAAATTGGACTGTTATGACAATTAAATTAGTGCAATTAAAGAGGAATTCAAAATATTATAAATTGTACCTGAGACTGTACCAAAATAGTGTAGTATATGATATTATATGAAAAATAGCATGTGAATATGTAACTAAAGCTTGTAATGTAATATGTGTGCACTGGGGTAAGGTGCATGTCCAACCTCAACTTTGGCATTTCCTGATCGTTGAGTACTTTTACAGTCTTAATGTCATCTCAGTGTAACTCTGGATGGAAATTAATTTGGCCACACCTTATTAGATGTGCTCAGTTTATAGGTTAAATGATGTTGTTTATAACTGAAAATTCCCTCTGGGATCTGAGAATGAAGCTAGGCTTTTTTCCATTTCAAACATCATCACTAGCAGTAAAGATTCTGCCAGAATACCCTGCCATGAGTGATACCTGTGTGACTCCACTGTCTTCAGTGAGTTTGCACAGGTGGAACTTGGTAGCCAATTCCATGGCTAATGCACAGATAGGATAAACTTCAGCTCATGGTCTCTGAGCTGTGCTGGCTCTGGAAGGCTAACAGGAGTAAAAAGCAAGTAAATCTGATTTCAGTCACCAAAATGAGATGAGCCTTCTTTTCAAGAGCCTGCATAACCCTGTCCTCCCTTCTCATCTGCCTTTATCTTTGATGGTGCCACCTTCACCCCATCTGCAATGATGTCAACATCAGCATCTCATTTGTCTGCTTCTCCCACAACCATCTCCATGTCTTCCACACTGCTCCTTGTACATGAGCACCCTCCAGGAGCTCATCCTCAAAGCCACTCTCTTCTCCATGGTCAAGTCCTTCCTAAAGTCCTTCTGTGATGTCTAAAAGAAATCAGTCAGCTAATGATGGCTAGAGAAGGAAAATCGGGCCTATCCCAGAAACATCTACATTATCAAGTTGTGCTGTTCATCACCTTTGGCACTTTGGTGCACCCTTTCTTTTTTTCTGTTTGTCTTTTTAGGTTGTGGGAGTTTGGGGGCAGGGTCTGTGTTTTTCTATATGTTTGTACAGCACCAGAACTTTGGGGGTGCTACAAGAAACTATTTATGTATGTCTCAATTGAACATGAGCTGGAGAAATATCATTCATTATCATGGCTGTTACTGATGCCTCTCTGGTGCTACTATGTGGCCAGTCAATGCTACAGCAGACTTTCTTTTTTCTCCTCTGACTTCCAGTGTTATATTTTGTCTCACTCCTGAGAACTGTGTGAGCTTGATTTTATCTGCTACATCTTTCTTTATACAGCCAAAGAGGGGAAAACAGGGATAGTTGGAGATCCACTCTGAGGGATTACTTTACTGTTTATGAGCCTGATTTAAATGTGAAGTTCACCTCCATGTTGGGATTGTCTACTTCTGGCTCCTTGTGTGTGTGATATTCAACTAACCGTTGTCTGTTATCTGTAGCACATGGATTAATTCCATGACCTGGAAGGGAGCAAGGTGGGACTGTCCATTTCATAAGGAAAAGACAGTTCTTGTCCCAGTGAGTGAGGGAGGTTCTCTGGCCTGTGATGTGCAGGAGGTCAGAATAGATGATCACAATGGTCCCTTCTGGCCTTAAAGTCTCTGAGTCTCAATCCCCAAAGCGAATTTTGGCTGCTTCTCTCAACTGAGAATCAGGGTTCTAAACTCTGAGGCAGTCTCTGCATCAAAGGGATGCCAGCCTGGCAAAGTTTTGTGGGGAAGGAGGAAGTAAGAAAGGAACGAAAGTTTTGAATTCCATTCTTTGGCTTTCTTTTCCCCCTTTCCCATTTGTTTGGAGTGGGCAGAAAGGCAGGTGGAGGGATTGGAGAGTTAGAAGTGAGAGAAGCTGGCTGGGAGTACATGTCTCTGCTCTTTGACCAGAAGTTCTAAATTCTGTGGGATGAAAGTTGGGATCATGTTAGTTTAAACCCCAAATTTCTGGCCTTTTGGCAGGCAAGTGTCAACTTTTTCTCTCCCATATCACCCTTCTCTCCACCTACAGTCTTCCCTGTGATCCTCCTGTAACTGTGCCTCAGTCACAGCTGAGGATGCCAGATTCAGGACAAACTGCTGAGAAATAAGGTGTCCACCCCAAACTGATGGTTATTCTTCCATAACATATACCAAGCCAGTAACAAAAGTAAACTTCCATTTCCCCAAACTGTTTAACAAGAAGTGAGAAAGTTCCCAAGAGATCAGCCACACAGCTAGGTCAATATCCAACTCAGATCTTACCCAATAATCAGGCTATTGCCATTCCTTTAGTATCTAATATCTAAAGGTTTATTTATAAAAGAAAGAGGAGAGAGTTAAAATGGTCAAAAGAATCAAATACAAACAAGAACTTTGGAATGAGTGTATCAGGCCTGAAGCAGTGATGGAATAAACTGCTGTCTTGTACAGTCGCCGGTAACTTCCAAAAGATGGGAAGGTCCTCAGTCCATTGGTTGGAATGCTTCTGTTAGGGTAAATCCATAGTCCAGAGATCAGAGCAGGAAAGAGGCAAAATGGAGTTTCTTCCAGGGCCTTTTATACTTTCTCCCATGGGGCGGGAAAAGCTCTCAGTCTTAGTTTGTGGAAAAGTACAGGTACAAGATGGAGTCCAGGGTCATGTAAGCAAGTCACATGCCCTTGCATGCTTCGATAGCAGGATCCATTACCCATATTCTGGCTAAAACATACTCAGGAAGGGCCATGGGGTGGAGACAAGCTTCTTCTATATCCATTCTGACAGCTAAGTGTTCTTTGATAGGCCATCAACTTGAATCATCCTTTCACAATATGCTGGTGTCACGGAGTGTAGGGGAGTCAGGGCCCTGCACCCCTCACTTCCTGCGATTCACTGTGACTCTCAGCCAGCCAGTCAGTAAAACAGAAGGTTTATTAGATGACAGGAACACAGTCTAAAACAGAGCTTGTAGGTACAGAAAACAGGACCCCTCAGTCAGGTCCATCTTGGGGGGTGGGGAGCCTAGACCCAGGTTCTGGGCCTCCTTCCCTCCTCCCTCCCTCCCCCCCCCCCCCGGTCTCCCCAGCCAGCTCCAAACTGAAACTCCCTCCAGCAGTCTCACCCAGTCACACACCCCAGCTCCTCGGTCAGCCTTTGTCCAGTTACCTGGGCAGAAGGTGTCACCTGGCTCCAACCCCTTCCTGGGCTCAGGTTACGTGCTGGCTGTCAAGTATCATCCCTCAGTGAAGTCACACTCTTATATCCCACCACCATCTAGTATTAATGCAGACAGTAAACTAGTAAAACTCCCATGCAACATTACCAGGTTAATATTCCCTACTCCATCACAGCTGGCCAGACTGGATGCAAACTTGGCTGTTACCCCAGGAGTAAACACATTTTAAATACAGGTACATAGTCAATATTCATAATATTACTTCAAATACAAAAATGATGCACGCGTACAAACAGGATAATCATATTCAGCAAACCATAACTTTTCCATTGACACCTTATATGGCATACTTTGTATAGGATTTGTTGCAATTGTATAACGGTGGTAACAACATGGTCATATTTTAATCATAAACGTCACACCTCCCCCACAACATCTCCAAAAACAGTGGATAAAAGGTGAGGCCTTGAAGGATGTCATCAAATACACAACCTTCGGCATGGGGTGTGAAGCAGTGGGGAGAGAAAACGGACTTGCTGCTTTGTGAGATTTTACTATCTCTGTCTCTGTGTTTCCAGGGTAGTCGTCTGGATGAGCAAAGATGTTCTCTCCCAACTCCGCTCAAGGTCAGGTTAGGTCTTTGGTGCCTCATATATTATTGAGAATGGAAAATAAAGGGTTTCTACTTGCAGCTTGCCCTGCACTCTGGCTTCCTCAGCCTCCTTGAGGGATGAGGAGTCTAGTATTTGTAACTCAAGTCTGTGTTTCTATCACAGGGTTCTGGGGATGTTGCACAATAGGGTCTAACAATATGATGCAAATATAATAAACACCCTCTCAAAATCCAAGCAGATTCAATCAGTCACTTTAGTATTATTAATTATAGCATAGTTCTGGTGAGATGTTTCCTTGCTTTTATTTTAGTTTGAGTTTTAATAACATTTATAAGAGAAACTTATACGGAGTCTCATATCTTTCAGTAAGCATCGTGAGTCCAGAACCTGTAAGGGCTTAGGGTGGGTGCCAGCTGGTCAACCTGAAATCTCACCAGGTCCTCCTAATAAGTCCATGGCTCTCACCTAATTGGCCTACAAAGAACTGGGTCCCATTTTTCAAATGCTCAGATCTTTCTCTTTTTCTATTGTCTCTGCTCTGGTGCTCTAACCTGGTAAGCTAACAAAATCACCCACAAGGAAGCAAGGTGGGTGGGAAGTGTGTAGGATGGAGGGGCATGTCAATGCCAAATGTGGTTAAAGGGGGAGGGGGGCTAGAAGAACATTAAAGTGGCTTAACATAAGGTTCTCCCCCAATCCTCTTACACAGCCACAGCAGCCCCTCCAGTTGTGGATCAGCCACCCTCACTGTCAGAAAATGGAGCCTCACTGCATGGGGCCCTGTCTTATGGTGTCGGAGGAAAGATGGGGAGAAGGTTCAGTGTGCCCAGCATTGTGAAAATGGGCTTCTGGCAGGCATCTATCTCTACTGTTCCATGGCACAGAGCCCCCTTAGTATCAGCATACTCACTCATTTGGTAATAGTGCTGTTCAGAGAGCAGGAATAGAGCTGCCCTATCTGGGAGCAGGGTCACCTCTTCTAATCAGGGATCACAGGCTCTCCAAATGGTGAGTGGAAAAGTCCTTCCCCATCTCACAGAGCATCCTCAGAGCCTCAACTACACCCTGGAGTGTAGCTTTGACCATCTGCAGGCTGGTTTAAGTGACACACCTCATGCTCCCAGAATGCAGGAGTGATACCAGTGCACTCTGCTCTGCCCCACTTGCATAAACACTTTCCCCCATCCCCAGGTGTCCCTTTATGCAGCAACATGGCACTAATCCAGCACTCTTCTCAGCATGGGACAAGGGACTAAGGCTGTCAGGCCACACATGGCTTAATTTGCCTCAATCTGGCTCACAATTTGATTACTCTGTTTTCCCCTCACTGTGCCCTGTGCAGCTGGGGCAGGGGAGTGGAATCTGGCCCCTGGAGTTTATTTGCTGAAGTTTTTGTGTGTTATAATGCTGTGTGCTGTGAAATGCACCCTAACCTAGATGCTCTAAAGAAGTAGGAGTGGATGGGGAGGAGTGGCGGTGGAGGACAAGCAGCCTGGGTCACCAAGTGAAGATGGTACTATAAAGGCTCCCTCAGTTCTGTAGTCCCTTGTGATTTCAGAGAGAAGAGGAGTATATCCCATACCCCAGCATCCATGAGGTGAGTCACAGCTGGCTCTGCTCTGCTCAGTCTCTTCCTCTACCTCAGTAATGTTATTTGCCTCACAAAGCAATGCCTCTGTCTCTCGGGACAGGTGTTACGGAAAGGGTGGCCATACCCCCTCATTATCCTACCCCAGTTCGGGGGCTACTGGATTGAAGGAACCTGCCACAGCCTCCCCAGCTCGACCTCGGCTCTGCCTGACCTGCCTTCCCCCTGCAGCAGTAAAGTGAAGCTAGAAGGCGACCCCACGGCCAAGCTGTACCGCAAGCACTTCTTGGGGAAGGTAAGGGGGAACCCCATAGCCTTCCATTCCACTCCATGACTATACTGTACCCCAAGGGTCTCCTGACAGATGTTGGGGTGACCTCACACACACACACCCCACCCAGATCCCACACCTTCCCAGTGCCAAAAATAATTAAATGTGTCCCACTACATACCCAGCAATGTGCTACTTAGAGTCACAGCTACGTCAGGGGTGCCCCTTTGCGCCTTGTGTAGTGTCCTGTGTGTTAGAGAAGAGAGAGGTCTCAGATCTGATTAATATAAAGGGGATCTTTTGCTGAGACTTCTGGACACAGACAGACCTTGGGAGATGGAAGAGAAACAACTGTAATGAATCATGGTGGCCACCACATACAGACACTCAGCTGGACATGGGGATCAAACCCAGGCCCTTCAGCACAGAATGTAGAAGGCCCTGCCAGCTGAGCTAAAGGATAAACTCCAGTAGCTCTCAGTAACAGGTTGTTATAGCGAGAGAGATAATTGCGTGCACTAAGCCAATGTATTACACAGGCTTGGGGCCAAGTACTCCTTGATCTTGCCATTTCTAGCCATGACAGGTATGGGAACACATGGAAGCAGAGACCAGCCTCCAGGTGAGGTTCAAAGCATGGGCATTTATTAGCTGTCCTACAGGCTCCACCTGAACTGGCTCCTCTGGGGTGCTGGGCAGTCACCAGATGGATTTCACGATCATGCTGACCAACTCACAATCAGTTGTCAACAAAACCATGATCTGTTCATAGAATCATAGAATCATAGAATATCAGGGTTGGAAGGGACCTCAGGAGGTCATCTAGTCCAACCCCCTGCCCAAAAGCAGGACCAATCCCCAACTAAATCATCCCAGCCAGGGCTTTGTCAAGCCTGACCTTAAAAACTTCTAAGGAAGGAGATTCCACCACCTCCCTAGACAACGCATTCCAGTGTTTCACCACCCTCCTAGTGAAAAAGTTTTTCCTAATATCCAACCTAAACCTCCCCCACTGCAACTTGAGACCATTACTCCTTGTCCTGTCCTCTTCCACCACTGAGAATAGTCTAGAACCATCCTCTCTGGAACCACCTCTCAGGTAGTTGAAAGCAGCTATCAAATCCCCCCTCATTCTTCTCTTCTGCAGACTAAACAATCCCAGTTCCCTCAGCCTCTCCTCATAAGTCATGTGTTCCAGACCCCTAATCATTTTTGTTGCCCTTCGCTGGACTCTTTCCAATTTATCCACATCCTTCTTGTAGTGTGGGGCCCAAAACTGGACACAGTACTCCAGATGAGGCCTCAACAATGTCGAATAGAGGGGGACGATCACGTCCCTTGATCTGTTCGCTATGCCCCTACTTATACATCCCAAAATGCCATTGGCCTTCTTGGCAACAAGGGCACACTGCTGACTCATATCCAGCTTCTCGTCCACTGTCACCCCTAGGTCCTTTTCCGCAGAACTGCTGCCTAGCCATTCGGTCCCTAGTCTGTAGCTGTGCATTGGGTTCTTCCGTCCTAAGTGCAGGACCCTGCACTTATCCTTATTGAACCTCATCAGATTTCTTTTGGCCCAATCCTCCAGTTTGTCTAGGTCCCTCTGTATCCTATCCCTGCCCTCCAGCGTATCTACCACTCCTCCCAGTTTAGTATCATCTGCAAATTTGCTGAGAGTGCAATCCACACCATCCTCCAGATCATTTATGAAGATATTGAACAAAACCGGCCCCAGGACCGACCCCTGGGGCACTCCACTTGACACTGGCTGCCAACTAGACATGGAGCCATTGATCACTACCCGTTGAGCCCGACAATCTAGCCAACTTTCTACCCACCTTATAGTGCATTCATCCAGCCCGTACTTCTTTAACTTGCTGACAAGAATACTGTGGGAGACCATGTCAAAAGCTTTGCTAAAGTCAAGATACAATACATCCACTGCTTTCCCTTCATCCACAGAACCAGTAATCTCATCATAGAAGGCGATTAGATTAGTCAAGCATGACCTTCCCTTGGTGAATCCATGCTGACTGTTCCTGATCACTTTCCTCTCATGTAAGTGCTTCAGGATTGATTCTTTGAGGACCTGCTCCATGATTTTTCCGGGGACTGAAGTGAGGCTGACTGGCCTGTAGTTCCCAGGATCCTCCTCCTTCCCTTTTTTAAAGATTGGCACTACATTAGCCTTTTTCCAGTCATCCGGGACTTCCCCCATTCGCCATGAGTTTTCAAAGATAATGGCCAATGGCTCTGCAATCACAGCCGCCAGTTCCTTTAGCACTCTCGGATGCAACTCGTCCGGCCCCATGGACTTGTGCACGTCCAGCTTTTCTAAATAGTCCCTAACCACCTCTTTCTCCACAGAGGGTTGGCCATCTATTCCCCATGTTGTGATGCCCAGCGCAGCAGTCTGGGAGCTGACCTTGTTAGTGAAGACAGAGGCAAAAAAAGCATTGAGTACATTAGCTTTTTCCACATCCTCTGTCACTAGGTTGCCTCCCTCATTCATTAAGGGGCCCACACTTTTTTTCTGTTCTGGAGACCAGATGCCTAAACCAGAGTTGGCTCAGCTTATTTCAACAGACTACCCCTTGCAGTACAAGCCCACAGATGGGGGAAAAAATGTGTGCATCTGGTCTCCACTGCAGAAGAGGCCTCATTGAGGCAGAAGTCAAATTCATCTGGTGTTTGAGACCAGAGACAAGGTCAGTGTAGGAATGATATTAGTGTACAGACCCAGCACCAGAGGCTTCTTGTCTGAACGAAAGGAGATGTTGTGCTGAATCTGATTCTGAAGACTGAAATTTATTATCTTGGGAGTCTTTCGAAGTGCCGGGTATGCCACCACTAACCCCATATCTGTTAGAGTAACCAGGGAATTTTTCCAGAGCCACCCACATAGCCAGATACATGCTGGATCTGATCTTTGGCTTAGCTGTAGATGACACTGCTAGCCTGATATGACCTTTGCCCTCCCCCCTCCAAGCAGCAGTAAGAGTTTTCCCCTCTTCTCATGTGGGATGACTCGTCCAGTATAGCAGAGACTCATGAACCCAAAGAGTTTGGAAAATGTGCAAGAGTGGAGTACTGCACAACTGTAGGAACAATCTGAAGTGCAGTACTACTGAGTCACTGTATGCTAAGCACTCCCTTCTTCTGCTCAGCCCAACAGATCCCCTTGGTTCACTGCTGAAACATGTATTAGTGAGTTTGGGTTCAAGATATCTTCACAGTGACCATAACTCCTGTAGTGGATAGCACCAGCAACACTAAGCGCTTGCAGCATACTCACAAGGGAGTTACTGCTTCAGCTCAAAGTGGTAGAGGCCTCTGCTTTTGGTGCTGTGCAGCCCAGGTTCTGCCCTCACAGGGGACCTGGGAAGGAGGAAGCTATGCTCCAGGAATAGCTCTATCTTGTCCTGAATAACTCTATCATGTTTGCAGCCTAGCCAGGGCAACGTGAGATGATGAGGATGGTGGGAAAGACACCCAATGGTGAAGGGGTATCTTCTCGGGGACTATGGGAGATTGGCAATATCCTAGGTATAATCTGGTGGGTACCTTGGGGAAATGAGCTTCTCTGACTTCCTGTTTTTAGGAGCATCAGAACTTTTACTCCAATGACACAACCTTGGGCTACCTGATCCTTTCTGTGAAGTATGAGCAGATTGAGAGGCAGGACAACTTGCACCTGCTGCTGAGGTAACAGCACCCAGCATGGAAACACATGTACCATGCTCTGTCTCCCACCTTACCAGGAAGTCTTTCTGTGTGGATTTTGTGACCTAACGTCATTGTCCCAGGAATGGTTGCAGGGAAACCCCTGACTGGGGAAGCCCCTTTTCCTTCTGGCTCATCTTTGAACATTCATCTTTCTTTACTCCCAGCTGTTATCCTCAGGAAGCTGAGGGCTGCAGGGCAGCCAGGAGTGGGGAGGGGTCAGAAAGAGAATTTCTGGTGTGTCTGTCCCATTGCAGATGGGGAAACAGAGTGAAAGGATAAGCAGAAATCTTACATAAAAAGGGGGGAATCTAAAGCCCTCTGAGCTGTACCAGGGAATATTTTCATTGAGCACAGACACACACATAGGAAAGTGCTGGTGGCTGGTTGGAAGAGACCCTGGTTCTATGCATCACTCCTTCTTAATGGGACTCTGGCATGCTGTTGGCAGGCCAGCTAAAGCCAGATAGAAGGGAGTTATGATGCCTGATCTATGAGGATGACCTCAGGGCTAGTGCAGTTAGTTTTGTGTATGGGAGTAATGGGTTTGAATCCCATTGTTGTCCCAAAATATTCCCTTCTGTGTTGATGAAGCAGCACGTGGATTTCCTTTGCAATATACTTAACTGTTGTTTAAAGCAAAAAAGGTCTCTAAGGAGTGATGGAGATCCATGTAGCTGCCTAACCAGCTCCGTTTTCTTTCTGCTCAATTAATACCAAGCACTGGGCTACAGGAACCCTAAACAGTGTCCATCTTCCAGTGTCATTAGGCACTAGTGCTAAGCTAGAGTCTATGTAACATGTACAACCCTTTTGGGAGCTAATTAACCCTTTAGTTGCTGGACCAGAATATTATGCAAGAACAACATTCCCTCCCTAAGAAGAGATCTGGAGGTGCGGCAGGAGTCACTTTAAGCAGCCAGAGATGTTGTTTGCATTTCCCTTTGTCATTTGTTCTCATCTTTTCTCGGTTTGTGGCAGGACTCGAACCGGTACCAAGCACGACCTGATCCCCATTTCCTGCCTGAATGAGTTCCCCAATGCAGTCCAGATGGCAAAGGTGAGACCCTAACTGAGTACATTTTCTTTCACACACTCATGGTATGTCTACACTACAGTCAGAGGTGTGAGTGCAGCATCTGTAGACATAACCGAGCAGGCTTTGATCTAACTAGATTGAATAACAATAGCAGTGAAGCCACAGACTATCCAAGGCCACCTGGGACCTACACATTTGAGTGGCTAACCTGTGCTGCCACAACTTCATTGCTGTTATATGATCTAGATAGATCACAGCTAGATCGGGTCTGTCTCGACAGGCTGCAGTCCCACTTCTGATTGCAGTGTAGACATACCCTTTGTCTGTCTCTGCTTAACTCTCACTCTTCAGCTTCTCACTTCTCTCTCACCTGTCTTTTCCCTTATTCTTCTCCAGTCTTTTGGCCCTTTCTCATCTATCTTTTCTCCTCACTTTGCCTTAGATTTTCTTACCAAGAGACTCCTGCAAGATGATTATAAAGCAATACCCACCTCACCCTCCTCCTGCCTGTAGCGAGTCAGGGTACAGGAAGGGGAGTCACAGCTCCCAACAGTGGTAATCGATCACCACTTTTCCTTCTTTCTCTCTCTCGGCAGCTGCTGTGTGAAGATGTGAATGTTGACCGATTCTTCCCTGTCCTCTACCCCAAGGTATATTTACAGTAGCTTTCCACCCGCCTATCCCTCTGATGACAGGGGCTGCTGGTGGGATGTGACCGAGACTTTATGCTTTCCGCCCTCCCAGGCTTCCCAGCTCATTGTTGCCTTTGATGAACACGTCATAAGCAATAACTTCAAATTTGGGGTCATCTACCAGAAAGCTGGGCAGGTGAGAGGTCTCTGCACTCCATAACCAAGCACCCTCAGGCCCAAACACACCAGATCACATTTCTCAACCCCAACCCTATAGAAGGCAATTTAAGCCAACCTGGGGCCAAGGATTTTTTTCATTCCCTGTCACTCTGAGTCTTGGGGACTTCTCTCCCACATCCCCCTGTCAATGTGGCCAAACCTAGTGCCCTCCTCTGGATCCAAGGATTCATTCCCTGCAATTTCAGCCCTAGAGAATTCCAGTTTCTCTTTGCTGTTTATGAGCCCCAGTCCCATTCTAGTGAGAACAGGTCCTAGTGGTGCCAAGCACTGGTACTATGTATCATTTTCTGTCCTAATGTCTGCTCTCCTTGCTGCAACATCAGTTCACCTCAACTGGGAGACTGTGCCCCCTGCAGGCATTGACCTTCTCTGTCATATTGGTTCTGGGGACCTCTTGGTGCTGTCAATGCACCTGGACCCATGAGATCTTCTTCCTTGTGGACCCAGGGAAGCCCTCTGAGTCCTAGAGACTTCTCTCTCCTCTGCACTGTCCACAGGGAGAGAACCCCCTGCTGGCACCAGAGTGAGATTCGCATTCTCCATGTTCTCAGTGCTGGAGGACAGGCTTTGTTTTATTTCAAGGAAAAGGAGACAATTTTCCATTATATACAGGGGGATAGGGCTCTGGACCCCATTGAGGTGGGAGGATGTAGACTCTGTGTGAGAGAAGGGAAGTGAACCTTCCCCATATCAGTTTTTCTCTTTTCCTCCTCTCCAGACCCCAGGAGAAGTGGGAGTGTGTATGGCGAATAATCTCCTCTGCTTATCATATCTCCTCTCCCCTTCCAGACCACAGAGGAAGAAGTCTTCAGTAACACTGAAGAGAGTCTGGGCTTCCTGGAGTTCCTGGAGTTCCTTGGAGACAGGATCCAGCTGCAGGATTTCCGTGGGTGAGTAGGGGACAGCATGGGAATGACCAATCAGCATAGCATGGGGGCTGCAGTCAGACACAATTAAGGTACGAAGCACAGACTTGGGGAGCCCAAAGTAGACCCATGTGTCTTCAGCTCCAAAAATCACAAAGCAGATCTCCTTCTGCTGGCAGGCCAATATCCTCTTTGTGAGTCCATCTGTTAGAAGGCCACATCCCTGATCCAGACACTACATTATAGGTTGGATTTTCAAAAGAAGTCAGCCCCCATTTAGGCTAAATAGAGCTCCAGCTGTGCATCCTTCAGGGCATTCCCAGAATGACTTGGCCTATCGTTTCCCCTAGGATCCTGTTGGAGTCCCATTCACAGCTGGTGCTGTGAATTTACATGTCTCAGTATCCAGTCTGGTTTGCCAGCTCTGGCTCTCTCCAATAGGCAGTGTTTGGGATTGTGTCTCATGCCTGGGAGCTGGGCTGAATGGTTGGGGATTTCTCATGGGAGATTCTTGGGGCTCTTTCCTGGGATGCTTTTCTCCCAAGTGTTAAGCTGTGTGTGACTGACAGCAGCTAGGACTGACCCACAAGGATCAACAGAGAATGACAGAGCATTGACCATATCACACTATCCTGTGCTGCTTTGAGGTGCCAACGGGCATTGGTAAGCCTTGGTCCTTTCCATCTGCTTCTGTGGGGCACCCCATACACTCCACATTTCTCAGCTGGAGATGTTTCCCCTGAGAGTGGCAGGGATGATTGCTCCTCCAAAGCCACCTGGTTTGGCAGGAATAGATGCCTCTCTAGTTCTCAGTGGAGAGAGGATGATGCCAATAGGAATTTCGTGCAGCTCTAGTGTAGCTACTGCATTGATTTTTGGGGTGTGTTGTGCCTTTCAACCACTGAGCTCTTAAACCTGTCTCTGATGACAACCTTACTGGTGTCTACTTCCTTCCCCCCACCACATGGTACCAATGCATTCAGGTTCCGAGGAGGCTTGGATGTCACAAGGGGTCAAACTGGCACTGAATCAGTCTATACCAATTTCCGGGGCAAGGAGATCATGTTCCATGTATCTACGAAGCTGCCATTCACAGAGGGAGATGCCCAGCAGGTACCACAAGGGGAGGCACCGAGTGATTCAGGAGGATGGGGGAGTGAACTGGTGGATGGGGCTAGGGACTGGGTGGGTGTTGGAGTAGGCAGTGGTTAGGGATGGGTGTAGATTAGTGGCTGGGGTTGGGTTTCCAGCTGCGGGTGTGGGTTGGGACTGCTGGATGAGTTGGTGGCTAGGGAAGGAATCTCCCCTCTTATTGTTTACTCTCATCTCACTTGCTCCCTCCAGCTGCAGCGGAAGCGTCACATTGGGAACGACATTGTGGCCATTGTCTTCCAGGATGAAAACACTCCCTTTGTCCCTGACATGATAGCATCTAATTTCCTGCATGCCTATGTGGTGGTACAGCTTGCTCATGGTTCCATTGGGGAGACTCTCTACAAGGTAAACACAGCCAGTGGGCCCCTGTTTGGTCGGGGATCCCCTTGCTGGTAGTTAGTTCAAACTCCTGCCCCTTGCCTGGAGTGCAGACTCTTCCTCCAGCTTTTGGGGAGGCAGGAATTCAACTAGACATCATTCCAACTGCTTTATCAATAACAGTCACCATTATGAACGCGCACCCAGTCCCAGGGCCCCACATCAGCTACTCAGTCAGCAATTTGGGCAGGGATGGATTTCCAATTAGGCACAGTAGGCATGTGCCTATGGGCACCAGCATTCTAAGGGCGTGTGGGGAGGGTTGCCAAGTATGTGATCTTCTAGCCCAATTGGGCTATTTTTAGTAGTCTGTTGCCAGGTTTTTTAGCAGGTGCGAGTTGCAGTATTTTGGGCTATTTTACTGTCCTACTTGTCCTAATGATTGTAAGGTACTCAGCTGTGGTAATGAAGGCCATATGTGTGTGTATGTATGTAAGAAAAATGCTATATAAACTGGGTATATATTACGGTAGAACTCCTATGTTAGAAACTAATTGGAGATTGAGGAGTTCATTAAATTGAATATCTGGCTGCATTGCTCTGGAGTTCTTGGGAGTGGGGGAGCCTCCAGATCTGCCCCATCCGCTGCTGAGATGCCCCACAAGCCGCTTGTCTCACGTCATGCCCCCTCTCCTTAGGTAGCGTTTGCAGCATGTGCAGAATTCTTGTCCAAGGGAGGCAGAATTTGTTTTCTGCAGAAAATGTGCTTTTGCCCACCAGAGACCGCTGTGGCACCAGAACAGCCTGAGCTGGCTGAAGCTGACCGGTCTGGCGGGCACTGGCAAACACCAAGCAGGCAGGTGGTGGGTGCATTTTTTCTTCAAGTGAAAAGTGACAGACACAATAGCCTTCTTGGAGCCAGGTTAGGTGGCAGAGCAGGTCATACGGGCTGCTGGGGGCTCACAGGGCCACATGGGGATGTGGGAGGGAGGCTCCAGGCAGGGCCACATAGGGAGGCAGGGGGGGTACTGAAGATGCTGTGCCTAGGGGTGTTTCCAGCCTAGGGGTAAATCCAGCCCTGGATCCACGGCCACCACTCTGGGCTCTGGCTGACCCTTCCATGTTGTGCAAGGCACGCTCATAGTGGCCACATTCTCAGGCTGTTCCCTGCGCAGTCGAGCTCATACATGCCATTGCATACACAGCCCATACCGTTCCTTCTCCAATCTTTTATATTTGGTACCAGTGCAACCGCTGCTGGAATACTGTGTCTAGTGCTGGTGCCTTCAATTCTCAAAGGCTGTTGATACATTGGAGAGGGCTCAGAGAAGAGCCATGAGAATAGTCAAAGGATTGGAAAACCTGCTTTATAGAGATAGATTGAGCTCCTCAAGACTATTTAGTATAACAGAGAGAAGGTCAGGGCAGTCCCTACCCATACGCAAAGTACGCAGCTGCGTAGGGCACCAGGTGCCCTGCGTGCTGCTCCAGCTCCTGCCCCGCCTCTTCCCCATGGCCTCCGCCCCAGCCCTGCCCTCACTCCACCCCTTCCCCAAAGCCTCCGCTGAGTCCCGCCCCTGTTCCGCCCCAGCCCCGCCCCCACTCCCCTGAGGACTGCAGCAGGGCCAGGCCTGCACTCACCAGTGGCAGGAAGTGCAGCAACCTGACCCCAGCCATGCCACTGGGGAGTGCTGGGGAGTGGTTCCCCCCTGTCCCCCAAGCCAGCCCCGCCCTCCCAGCGGAGGCCTGCCCCCCCATACACACACACGGGGGTGCTGTGTATGGCGCAGAATAGCTAGAGACGGCCCTAGAGAAGGTTAAGGGGTGATTTGATCACATTCTATAGGTACCTACATGGGGAACAGCAATTCAGTTAGAGGGTTCTTCAGTCTAGCAGAGAAAGGTACCTGGCACTAACACAGTTTTTTGCATTTATTAAATATTAATGCGAACACTCACATACACAAACCCACCTCTAGTTTGGCAAACTTTTCAGCCAACTAACAAATTTCTAACAAAATCCAATGCCTAGAAGATAAAGCCAGACAAATTCATTTTGGAAATAAGATGCAAATTTTGAACAATTGTGATAATTAACCATTGGAAGAACTTACCAGAGTTGTGGTGGATTCTCCGATGAAGTGAGCTGTAGCTCACGAAAGCTTATGCTCAGATAAATTTGTTAGTCTCTAAGGTGCCACAAGTACTCCTTTTTTCCTGCTATGTCTGTGTGTAATACCTGGCGCTGCCACAGATTTCCTTTGTGATTTGGGTGAGTCGCTGCTGAATGTGTCTCCTTCAGTTCTCCATCTGTATAATGGGAATAAGAATAATGCTGCCCCATATTTCAAGGATACATTAATTTAATGATTGTAAGGTACTCAGCTATGGTAATGAAGGCCATATGTGTGTGTATGTATGTAAGAAAAATGCTATATAAACTGGGTATATGTTACGGTAGAACTCCTATGTTAGAAACTAATTGGAGATTGAGGAGTTCATTAAATTGAATATCTCAATACTGCAGCAGATACAGTGCATAAATTTCAGTCTGGTGCACTGCATCACTTTCTTTTTGTCCTTCAAACCACAGTAAAGTGATTTCCATTGCATTGAAGGCATCAGGATGTGAAGGGATGTTGACTTGTTCTTCATTGACATCACTTTTGTTACATAATATTCTTTTCCTCCCATTGGGGAAAATGATTTGGATAAGTGGTTGTTCAGAAGACTGGTATTCGTAAAACTGAAGTTCTTCTGTGATATAATAATATATTATTTAGATATACACTTGGGATTTAGCTGGCATAGAACCATCTGCTGACTACACTACAGACTACATGCTGTGGAGAAGTATTGCCTTTGATTTATTTGAAATGTATTTACCCTTAATTAAATCAGGTGCCCCTTAGTTTTGTATTATGGGACTGATTCACGTCGCCTGATGTTTTCAGGGTCCATGACTTCTGTTTCCGCTCTTATACAAGCTCATCACTGTGAGAGGATGTGACGTTCTGGTTCTTGTTATGATGTTGAAGTGGTTTCTTCTGTATTGTTTTAGGTTTCAGTAACAGCTCGAGATGACGTTCCCTTCTTTGGACCCCCTCTCCCAAATCCAGCCATATTTAAAGAGGTTTGTGTCTCTGAGTCCGCTAAGCAAACGATGCAGGGATCAGGTGTGTGGTTTACACACCCTATGACGGGTTGGATTACAGAAACCCCCTTGGGGTTGCCAACTAATGTGCCAAGACTACTTCTGCCCCTGCTTTCCTGCCCTATCAGCTTGGGACTCCAGAGCCCTGCCTGATTTGAGCCAGACCGGCTAGCTTGCTGCAAACCCAGACCCAGGTCTGAACCATGTCCCCTAAGCTGTAGGCTTAATTGAAAGCAGCTTCAGAAGTGTTCCTGTCTTTAACATTCAGATGCCCAACTCCCAATGAATCTGTTTTACTCTGTATAGAGCTTATACAGGGTAAACTCATAAATTGTTCGCCCTCTAGAACACTGATAGAGAGGTATACACAGCTGTTTGCCCCCCCCTCGACCCCCCCGGTATTAATACATACTCTGGGTTAATTAATAAGTAACAAGTGATTTTATTAAATACAGAAAGTAGGATTTAAGTGGTTCCAAGTAATAGCAGACAGAACAAAGTGAATCACCAAGCAAAATAAAACAAAACACGCAAGTCTATACCTAATACAGTAAGAACACTGAATACAGATAAAACCTCTCCTTCAGAGGCGTTCCAGTAAGCTTCCTTTTACAGACTAGCCTCCTTCTAGTCTGGGTCCAGCAATTACTCACATCCCCTGTAGTTACTGTCCTTTGTTCCAGTTTCTTTCCAGTATCCTTGGGGATGGAGAGGCTATCTCTTGAGCCAGCTGAAGACACAATGGAGGGGTCTCCCAAGGGCTTAAATAGACTTTCTCTTGTGAGTGGAGACCCCCTCCTCTCTCCTATGCAAAGTCCAGCTCCAAGATGGAGTTTTGGAGTCACCTGGGCAAGACACATGTCCATGCATGACTCAGTTTTTACAGGCAGCAGTCATTGCCCACATGCTATCTTGACTGTCTCCAGGAAGACTTCTTATGTGGATTGGAGCCTTCCAAGATCATTGTTCATTAAGTGTTCCTTGATTGGGCACTTAATTTGCACATTGCTTTCTCAAGAAGCTGACCAAATGCTTTATAAAGGCTACTTAAAAATCAAGCAAGTACACAGCCAATATTCATAACTTTGAATACAAAAATGATACATGCATACAAATAGGTTGAATAGATTCAGTAGAGCATAACCTTTACAGAGATATGTTACATGGCATATGTAGCATAAAACATATTCCAGTTATGTCATATATATACATTCATAAGCATATTTCCATAAAGCCTTATGGGGTGCACCATCACACACCCCTTCACCTCTAGGTTGCTGTTTCCAATTTGGTTCCAGGATTGGGTTGGATAACCCTGGGGGTTAAGGAAATGTATATCCAGAGCCTTTTCTAGGTTACCATTTCCAATCTAGACTTCCTTTTTTTCCCACAGGGTTCAGAGTTTCGTGAATTCCTCTTGGCTAAACTAATCAATGCTGAGTACAGCTGCTATCGGGCTGAAAAGTTTGCCAAACTAGAGGTGGGTTTGTGTATGTGAGTGTTCGCATTAATATTTAATAAATGCAAAAAACTGTGTTAGTGCCAGGTTAAGGCTGCACAATTAATGAAAGACATAGAAACTCTTAGGAAATTAAAGTCCCTTAAAAATAAAGTAAATTAAATGTTAAATCAGCCTTGTGGTGCTTCTTGTATGTTTTATTATCTATATCTATATTAAAGTACACATTTAACCCCTCCAAAACAAGAATAGAATATCTGGCGTACATGCAAAGTGGCTGCTACTAGAACCCTAGTGGTTACATTACTTGACTTTATACAGTGAAAGCCACCCAATCTTAATGTTGCATTCACTTAGGTTTTTGCATTTGATTCAGGGTAGATTGATTTAACTCAGCAAGTAAAAAATCTTGATTTAAATAATCAATTTTAATCTTGTTTTCCATTTATATTTTTTAGTTATTTTCCTAAAGAAAGGTTTATTTGCACTGGTTGATAACCATTAAAGCATATTGATTTGCAACCAAATATAATTTTGACACTAAATTTGATACTTCTTTTTGCTAGTCAGGAGGATTCACTATATCTATACACATTTATTTAAGCAATTATATTGCTTAACCTGCATTTATTCAAATTCTTAATTTTTACATTTTTTTATTGTGTTAGAAGATGTGAATTATGCATTTCTTCATTTATTCGATTTTTGTGTGTGTGATTTGTGTGAAGCTGTATTTGGATGGAAATTGGAATATAGTTAAAACTACTTTAAATTTAAAAAGTAAGATTATCAGAACATGTTTGCATTTAAATTCAACTGATTTATTAAACAAAGTAAGTATCCTCAGCAGTGAGTGAACTGTACTATTTTTTCTGGCAACATGTCCTTCAAGGCCTTAGAACTAGTAGGCCTCATCTTCACACCTAGTTTTTGTTCATAGATTGGAAGAGGAAGACAAGCTTTTCCGCTTTTTAAACTCCCGGTCCATTTGTTAACTCTGAATGAACTAGTCATTGAACAGAACTAGCTGAATAAACTGAAATGAAGAAAATATTCGTGCTGTACCTGCAAAAGACTATCAGTAGCTAGCACTTCAACAAACTCTGGTTCCAGATGCTTAGCCAGTGTCTTCCACCAGTTCAGCAGTGATATTTTTTTAAATTTTGGCAGCAGACATGTACTGATTTAAGATTATATTTTGTAAATTTAGTTTAAATTATTTTAATAGATTGTAGTAAATTTAGGCCTTTAACATGGGTTGTCATAATTTCAGATAGGTTTATTTTTAAGAATAAAAATGTATTTAATTTAAAGAAAGAAAATATGATTTAAATGAAGAAACTTATTTATTTATTTTAAATAATCAGTTTTTATCCACCCTGATTTCATTTCCTAGGCTCTTCTGAGGAGGGGCCGAGGGAAATGGTAAACAGAAGAAATGAAGAAAAAAGGCACCAAAAAATAGCTTAAGGAAGTATAAGGAAGTTAGAGAAGGGTCCACATTTGGAAGAAATCATATTCCTCTTAACACTAGAGAAAGTGGGATGTATCAATTATATCTGAAACATAGAGTCCATTCTCTCTCTCCTTCTTTCTCAGTGCTTTGTCCTTTATTTTTTCTCAAAAAGAAAAGGAGTACTTGTGGCACCTTAGAGACTAACCAATTTATTTGAGCATGAGCTTTCGTGAGCTACAGTTCACTTCATCGGATGCATAAAGTGGAAAATACGGTGAGGAGATTTATATACACACAGACCATGAAAAAAATACACATTGTAAGGAGGGTGATCACCTCCTTACAATGTGATCACCCTCCTTACAATGTGATCACCCTCCTTACAATGTGTATTTTTTCATGGTCTGTGTGTATATAAATCTCCTCACCGTATTTTCCACTTTATGCATCCGATGAAGTGAACTGTAGCTCACGAAAGCTCATGCTCAAATAAATTGGTTAGTCTCTAAGGTGCCACAAGTATTCCTTTTCTTTTTGCGAATACAGACTAACACGGCTGCTACTCTGAAACCTTTATTTTTTCTGTCATTCTATTCTGTCCCTTCTCTCTCTCTCTCTCTCTGCCCTGGTGTAGGAGCGAACTCGCAGTGCCCTCCTGGAGAGCCTTTTTGAGGAGTTGCAGCTCCGTAGCCGCAGCATGATGGGCCTGGCCTCTGGGGACGATGAGAAGATGGAGAATGGGGGTGGTGGCTTCTTTGAAAATTTCAAGGTGAGAGATCAAGAACTGCTGCAGCCTCTTAAACCTATCCCTCTTGCAAAGCCACCGCCACCCAGCTCAGTCCCAGTTCAGGATACATTAGCCCTGTTGGGCACATGTGCTTGGGGTGGCAGGGAGTGGGGGACAATATGGTTCCTTCTCAACAGCCACATTTTGCATTGTATTTTTACATACCTCACAAGGAGAAATGCAGCTTCTCCCTCTCCACTCAGGGGAGATGCAGCTTGGCACAGTACAGCATCCCATGCTGTTCCTAATGTGAGGTCTCTGGATGGGATGAAATGAAGCCCTACACCCCCTGGCCCTGGCTGGCATCTAGTAGCAGGGAGGACCCAATTCCCCTGATGAGAAAAGAGATCAGGAACTTGCAGAAGGAAGTATGATGGGTTCGGGGGGCAGAGCCTTTTGTCCCCCAGCATCACACTGGCTCTATCTCCAGGACAGCAGCAGCAGCTGGGAAGGTCCCATCAAATGGTTGTTTCTAACAAAACTGTTGCTGTAGTATCTAGGTACTTTGGAATACTGAGATACATCTTTTTCCCTCTAAAAGCATGAGCTCTTTTTTGTATGATATGGTGGTATCAGTGGCTAATCTCCAGGAACACAGGGTCAGGGTGATGTGAGGGAGGGAACGCGTATACCAGTGATGCTTAGTCCTCAATGATTCAGAAGCCAAATTAGTGATCAACATTACCCAAAAGAGCCACAATTGTGTGACTTCATTGTTTCATTTACTTTCTCTCTTTATATATATACTATTCTCACAGCAAAATGACTGACCAAGTATTCTACAATAAAAAGCATCCTGATTGATTGATTAGTAACTTAGCTCGGTTAATAATTAAATCACAGTATTTTAATATCATGTGCTGCAAAGAGCTGCAGGAGACACATTGAAGAGAAACTTGCAGCTCCTGAGCCTCAGTCTAAGTATCACTGGCCTACTCAAACAGGAGGGAATGAGTGTGCTGATTCTCACTCCACTGCCTGCCTCTCTCTTCCTTTCTTCCTGCACCATGTGTGGTACATGCCTAGTGGGACAGACAGAGATATCTCAGGTACCAGCACCTCACTTGGCACTTCAGCCCCCTTGGTTGGCAGCTCTCATCAGAGTTGCTGGGGACAAAATAGGAGCCAACTCCCCACTCACCTGTAGAGGTGATTGGTGCAGGTCAGGACTGAGGCCCAGTGGTAGGGTGCGTGTGAGTGAGTAGCTTACTGCCCTTGCAGCATCTGTTCAGTGGATAAATAGGAAATTTCAGAATCTGTCCAGCACCTTTCGGCATATACTCCAAAATCTGCTTCTCTGGCCTCTGGCATCACTGTGTTCAGATAGCCTTTTAAGGGGCTGGAGAAGAGGGAGGGGGCCTGGGAAGTGGTTTTTTCAGAGTACTCTAGTTTCAGTGGGGCAACTTCTCTCTCATGGCCATTGCATAGGCCTGCATGGGACTGAGCCCTCCAGCCTTACATGAGGTTTTGGTCCCTTTTCTTGCACTGAGTATGACTGTGTGAGGTAATGCTGGCTTTTTGGGAAAGTTGTAGTGTTGGTGGGGAATCTCTTTATCTCCTGCAGGAGGACGGGGGAGACTGCGAGCAGAGGGAACAATCTTTCACTGACCCAGGGGCACATAGACAAGATGGAACCAAACAGGCCTTTCCCATGGGTAATTTTTGGGCTGCTGAGCTCTAGTGATGAGGGAGGATATCTCTGGTACTGGTGTCTGTCCTCACCTGTACTCCTCACCGTGGTGATCTTCATACTGTCCTTTATGTGTGTCTGTGTCTCTCTGTCTATCTCTCTGCCTTCCAGCGGGTGATCCGAGGCCGCAGCCAGAGCCTGGATACCATGGGGATAGCCATGAGGAAACAGCAGCAGCCGGCAACCCCACCCAGCTGCCCAGCTACTGCCGGCCTTGCTCTCAACCAGAGTGTCGCCGAGGGCACCAAGGCTATTGCTGCGGTAAGGTACTGGGAGGAAGTGCCACTGGAAGGGGCCCAGCATGTCTCTGATCCTCCATGATTCACCCACACATTTTGTCCCTCTACCCCTATTAGTGTGTCCCTCTGTGAATCTTTTATGTTTGTATCACTCCATTTCTGTCTCTGAGTGTCTGACTGGGTGTTTCTTTGTGCATCTCTCTCTTGTGCTGAGTCTGTGTCTCTGTTCTGTCTTCATTTATGTCCCTGGGTCCCATTCATCTACACACTGGATCTGAGCTTGGCACAGGGCTTGAGAGGAAGGGCAGAGGTGGCTTGGCATCACCCTTGTGCCTCCTTTATTTTGGGCTAGCTGTGGATCTGCATGCTGCCCTAACTGAAAAAAGACCATACACCCTGATTTTTACTAAGACAGTCCCAGTTTTTCCAGAACAGTTTTCCCAGCACTGAGAAATTCAGCATGCTGGAAATGTTCACGTTTCACTTCATCAATCAAATGTTAATTTTTTAATAACTACAAAATGTATGTTTCAGTCATATTGCTATGCTGAGTAGAATTCACTTGTCAGGAACAACAGTTCAGTGGAACAAGCACTCAGTGGGATGAACAGTATTTGGTTTTGGCAGTGCCTGTGATCATCTAACTTTTCTCTCACTCCAGTCTTTTGCTTGATGTGACTGTTAAGGACACTTAGAATCATAGAATCATAGAATATCAGGGTTGGAAGGGACCCCAGAAGGTCATCTAGTCCAACCCCCTGCTCGAAGCAGGACCAATTCCCAGTTAAATCATCCCAGCCAGGACTTTGTCAAGCCTGACCTTAAAAACCTCTAAGGAAGGAGATTCTACCACCTCCCTAGGTAACGCATTCCAGTGTTTCACCACCCTCTTAGTGAAAAAGTTTTTCCTAATATCCAATCTAAACCTCCCCCACTGCAACTTGAGACCATTACTCCTCGTTCTGTCATCTGCTACCATTGAGAACAGTCTAGAGCCATCCTCTTTGGAACCCCCTTTCAGGTAGTTGAAAGCAGCTATCAAATCCCCCCTCATTCTTCTCTTCTGCAGGCTAAACAATCCCAGCTCCCTCAGCCTCTCCTCATAAGTCATGTGTTCTAGACCCCTAATCATTTTTGTTGCCCTTCGCTGGACTCTCTCCAATTTATCCACATCCTTCTTGTAGTGTGGGGCCCAAAGTTTTGGGACACAGTACTCCAGATGAGGCCTCACCAATGTCGAATAGAGGGGAACGATCACGTCCCTCGATCTGCTCGCTATGCCCCTACTTATACATCCCAAAATGCCATTGGTCTTCTTGGCAACAAGGGCACACTGCTGACTCATATCCAGCTTCTCGTCCACTGTCACCCCTAGGTCCTTTTCCGCAGAACTGCTGCCTAGCCATTCGGTCCCTAGTCTGTAGCGGTGCATTGGGTTCTTCCATCCTAAGTGCAGGACCCTGCACTTATCCTTATTGAACCTCATCAGATTTCTTTTGGCCCAATCCTCCAATTTGGTTGGTGTTGCATTATAAACTCATTCAGAGCACTACATTCCAGGAGAAATGCTCCATTCTGAGAAATATGCCCATGTCACTGACAGAAGTAACACCTACTTGTATAAGAAAAAGTGCACTAATGTCTTCTGTAGGAATATTTCATGACTTTAGAAAATGTTGCCACAAAAGTGTCCTGGTTTCTGATTCTGAAAATATGGTTACCCTAGCTAACTCACACCTGGCTGCCTAAGGCTTCTGCACTGGGGCTCCGCAGGGCTGCTGTAGTGCCAAAACCACCAGCTCTATGTCAACCAGGGAGGTCCCTTTCTTTGGGGAATTGCTGCCCTGGGGACAGATGTAGCTTTACAGATCCTTTATGCCTGCACTAAGGAGCCATAGAATAGTGATGAGCTGGGCCCTTCCCCTCTCTCTCTGAGTCTGTATTTCTCTTTGTTTCTTTGTGTCTCCTTTCAATCTGAGTTTATGCCTCTCTTCCAAACTCTTTCTGTGTCTCTCTTGATGACATTGTAACTCTCTGCCTGTCCGTCTCACTTTCCATTTCTCTCACTCTGTCTCCTGTCTCTCTGTATCTCATTCTGCCTGTCTGTTTTTCTTCCTCTCTGTCTCTCTTAACATCTGTGTTCAGGGCCGGATTAACTCACCTGTGGGCCTGGGGCTATTAGATTTTGTGGGGGCCCTGTATACAAGTCTTTTTCGTGGGAGGGAGTTTGGGGCAGGAGGGGGCTGGGGCAGGGGATTGGCTGGAATGATTTAGTTGGGGATTGGTCCTTTTTTTGAGCAGGGGGTCAGACTAGATGACCTCCTGAGGTCCCTTCCAACCCTGATATTCTATGATTGGGGTGCAGGAGGAGATGCAGGATCTGGAAGGGAGTTTGGTTTCAGGAGAGGGATTCTGATCTGTGGCAGGAGATTCGGATGGAGGAGGGGGTGTGAGGTGTAGGCGCCGGCCGGGAGGCGCTTACCACAGGCAGCTTCCAGCTGGTGGTGCAGCAGGGCTCAGGCAGCCTGCCTGAGCGCCCTGCTGCACCGTGGGACTTTTAGCAGCCCGGAGTTGGAGATCGCTGCCTGTGATTTATTTTTGCGGGGTCCCCCTTGAGCCAGGGCCATGGGCTGCAGCCCCTAAAGCCTCTGCCTGTATTGAACCCTCACTTTCTCCCCTCTCTTTCTCACTGACTTGTAGGAGTTCTTCCTTCACATTCTGGTTCCTTGGGGGCTCTGGGCAGCACTATTACATATCAGAGATGATGCAAACTGAGGGTCTGGGATCCAGGCTGCACACTCCCTCTCCCCCTCCTCCAGTACCCCATTGCTTTGTCTCTCACACTCCCCTCCTTCCTTCCTATCACTTCCTTACTCTCCTTCTCTCTAGTCCTTTGCCCTGCCTGGGAGGAGCCCATCACGCACCCGAGGCAGCCACTTCCACGGGCGTCGCAGCAGTGCCATTGGCATTGAGAACATCCAGGAGGAGAAGAGGTAAGAGCTGTGGGAATGGGTGGGGAGCAGTGGGATGAAGGGTGCTGGGGCAGGGGAAGAGAGAGGAGAGGTGGGAGGAACTGGGACCCAGAGGAGATGGAGGATGGTGAAGGCTGGGGGAGGCAAGAAAAGGGAAGATGGAGAGGTGGGATCAAAGGAACAGGAAGGGGAGCAGACTTCAGAAGAAAATAGGCCTGGGACCCAGGGGAACTGAGAGGAGGTAGGAAGGGAAAGAAGTCGGGGAGGGGTAGACAAGGGAAATGGGAGGGAGGCAGGACCAGAGTGAAGGGGAGAAGAGATGGGAACAGGAGTGTAGTAGACAGGACCTTCATCAAACAGAGTAGAAGATGATCCAGGATTCCTGCCTGTCCTGTTCCATCCCCACTGTGACAAAAACAGTTCTGCTGTGCGCATGTGAGAGGAGAGTGGAAAAAAATACATTTTTTCCATTTTTTTAGAGAGTAACTAAATCTTGTGAATTTTAAAAGAAATAATTGTGAGAGTTTTCTTAACATGCTATAATCAAAATGGCTGAGGTTTGAGACTTGCAGACTATCACAGGAGTAGCATTCACAGAGGAGCAGAGCACAGCCTTCGTCCAGGGCTTGATGTAGCTGAGTTATGAGCATTTGAAAATTGCACATTGGGTAGTAGAGGTTATTTTGTTAAACTCTTAATGGGCCCCAAAAGGGGTGCTGTGCATTAGGGGTTCAGTGTATGCCAGATCCAAAGCCCAGTCCTTTGAACTGCTGTATACGCCACATGAAACCTTCCCAATTGTTCACGAAATCCAGGAATCTGTCAAAGGGCTCAGTGTAGAGAAGAGAACCCCCTCTCCCAGCATGCAGACAGCCATGACCGTCACCACGGGTAAAATCTGTGCCTGTGAAGTCTCTCCCCATGTCTCTTTCTCTTGCCCTTTCTTAAGAGAGACACTGACAGACTTATTTGTATTTAAAATGATGTATTTTTTTAGAACAAAAAATTATATAGAGGCAAGTTCCCATTAACAATGTATCTAAAATAAAAAACTGTCACAACACTCGCACTTTTTCTGGCTTACCTTTAACGACAATTTTACATCTCGTATAAATACATTCCTCAGCCCAGCCCTTTGTGTTACTCACCTCCCTGCCCTCTTCAAGGATGTTTAAAGATTTCCTGCAAAGGTGGAAAAATGGGTCTGTGCCCTTATCTTCTTCTTTATAATACAGAAAGAAGGTGTTGGGTTTCTTTAGATTTTCTTCTGCTTGTTTTCATCTCAGATATATCAGGAATGCGAAGCCTGCTCTTCCCTGCATTTGCTGGTTGACTCTTGAGATGAAGACTAGGAGTTTTCTCAACTCCTAATTGAAGGGGCTGCACTGCAGAATAATTCACACAGAGATTTCCTCACAAATATATTAGTTAAATAGGTGTCAGCAAAAACACAAGTTTGATACAGTCTGAAAGAAAAACCACTGCTGCTCTCAGTTAGTCAAATGTCACCTCCTTAGCATGTTTGACACTATAAATATACTACATCTCCAGTCAACTGTAGAGTCTTCCAGGTTAGATAAGATCTGAATTTCTAGTGGGATGGGGCTGAGGGAGCAAGTTGAGAAGAAATTTTAAAAACTCAAACCCTTTCAGGCCTTTATGATAAAAATAAAAGAAGCATAAAAAGGCCCAGTCCTGATATATTCTTCCTTTGTAGACCACTTAAGAAGATTGCTGTGTTCCAGCACCTTGTACCTGTGTCCCCCATAGAAATCCCTCTCTGTATTTCCCCTTGTAGGAAGCATTAGGTAACACAGTGGTAATTCATGTCTCATGTAGCTAGTTTTCCTTTCACTCCAGTAGGGATGTTGCTGACAGGATCCAGAAGGTGCTGGAGAGTCCAGGACCCTTTTTTGACCTGAAGTCTGATGGCTCCTCCAGTCCCAGTTCCCCAGAGTTCCCAAACAGGAAGAGCAAGTGAGTTGAAAATGGTCTTTCTGTTCAGGAGAAACTCTTGGTATCCCTGGGGAAGGCTTCAGCATGGCAGGTTTCTCACTTTTTGTCCCCTCACATAGGTATCTTGACTGCAAAGAATGTGGTCGCTAGTGATTAGAGCCAGCGAACGGGAGTTAGTTCTGCCAGGTTCTATTCCTGGCTCTGATACTGACCATGGATGAGTGACTTCCCCTCTCTGGATGATCCCCCCCCATCAATATGGATGATTACAATAAAGCTGCCTCACAGGGACTTGTAAGGCTTTGTTAATGTCTGCAAAGCACTGGAAGGGTCTTGGGTGGATGGTGCAAAATGAGATCTGCAATGATGGTGATAACTTTGGACTTGGATTTCAGAACCCTCTCCAATCAAACATCGGGATATTGTGTGATGCAGCCACTCTCACGCTCCTCATCCAATGTGAGTAGCTGCTGTAGTGGAGTGAGGGAAAATGAAACATCTGAGGAAGAGGAGAATGAGACGGTGAGTGTAGGATTTATAAGCCCTAAAATACAGAGATTCCCTCCCCCTCACATTCTGGGTCATCCCCTTCTCCTGCTTACCCCTAACACCAGCTATGTCCTGAGGCCTAATAGGTCTACCCCAGTTGTGAGCCTAACTATGGGCAAGAGGATAAAAGTTTGTAAAGTATTACAGTAATCTATAACAATGAATGCTGATAGGAAAAGCTGGAAAAGGAACAAAGACTGAATTAGTCTGAATGAAAACACCTAGTGTTATAACTCAAGGACTATATTAAGCTCATGCCTGGAAAACAAAGTGGGGGACTGGAAATCAATGGACCAAATTAGTGTATCAAAAATTAGGCCTAATTGGTGGGCAAAATAATCATAGAATAAAAGTATAGAAGTGTAGGACTGGAAGGGACCTCAGTAGGTCATCTAGTCCAGTCCCCTGCACTCAAGTCAGGACTGAGTAATAACTAGACCATTCCTGACAGACGTTTGTCTAACATGTTCTGAAAAACCTCCAGTGATGGTGTGATGTTCCCCTGTGTTATCTGGACCGGTGATCTGCTAGGTCACTCCAATCCTTGACTCTAGGATCCAGCCTTACCCTGCTCTGCTGTGAGAACCCCCACTCCCAGGCTGGTCATGCACAGCCTCTAGCATGTAAGCTACATGAGTGAGCACTTTTGGCCAGCTGCTGCTTGGATTGTGCAATCGAATGACACTAGCCAATATCTCCGGTCCCAGACACAACCCTAGGAACCTCCGTCTTGCAGTGTCCAGTTGTGTCCAGTTCTTCAATTTAACAAAGAAATTGATATGTACCAGGCTTGTTATCCCAAGGGGAGTCTCTGACATGCTTCAAACCAAATGCACTGGTTCAGGTAGAATAAACAAACAAATGTATTAACTACAAAAGATAGATTTTTCAGTGATTATAAGTCAAAGCACAACAAGGGGGAGGGATAGCTCAGTGGTTTGAGCTTTGGCCTGCTAAACCCAGGGTTGTAAATTCAATCCTTGAGGAGGCCATTTAGGGATATGGGGCAAAAATTGGGGATTGGTCCTGCTTTGAGCAGGGGGTTGGACTAGATGACCTCCTGAGGTCCCTTCCAACCCTGATATTCTATGATTAAGTCAGATTTGGTCAAATGAAATAAAGGCAAAATGCATTCTAAGCTGATCTTAACACTTTCAATGCCCTTACAAACTTAGATGCTTCTCACCACAGGCTGACTGGTTGCCCTTCAGCCAGGCTCTCCCCTTTGATCAGTGCTTCAGTCGCTTGGTGGTGGTGTCTGTAGATGGAGGTGGAAGAGAGAGAGAGCATGGCAAACGTCTCTCCCTTTTATCATGTCCTTTCTTCCCTCTTGGCTTTGCCCCCCCCCTTCAGAGTCAGGTGAGCATTACCTCATCTTAGTCCCAAACTGACCAAGGGAAGGGGAGTGACTCACTCGAGAGTCCAACAGATCCATTGTTGCTGCCTAGGCCAGTGTCCTTTGTTCCTGTGAGGCTGGGCTGGGTTTCTCCCATACATGCCCTGATGAGGTGTGAACTGCCCCTCTGCTCCTGGAGAGTTTTGCCTGGGCTTGTTTTAAGCCATGAGGTCATATTTTCAGACTCGTAACTATATACATGAAATTACAATCTATAACATTACTATAACAACAATGCTCAGTGCATCATGAGCCTTCCGAAGACACCTGAGATGACAAACTTTGCACTGGATACCACACAATCATATTACAAGGATGAATATGGGGGTGCAAGGTGTTCCCCTGAGGTACAGAGCATCACAGACGGAGATTCCACAACTTCCCCAGGCAATTTAATCCAGTGCTCAACTACCCTGACAGTTAAGAAGTTTTTCCTAATGTCCAACCTAAACCTCCCTTGCTGCAATTTAAGCCCATTGCTTCTTGTCCTATCCTCAGAGGTTAAGAAGAACAATTTTTCACCCATCTCCTTTTATGTATTTGAAAACTGTTATCCCCTCCACCAGTCTTCTTCAGACTAAACAAACCCAATTTTTTCAATCTTCTGTCATAGGTCATGTTTTCTAGACGTTTCATAATTTTTGTTGCTCTCCTCTGGACTTTCTCCAATTTGTCCACATCTTTCCTGAAATGTGGCTCCCAAAACTGGACACAATACTCCAGCTGAGGCCTTATCAGCGCAGAGTAAAACGGAAGAATTACTTCTCATGTCTTGCTTACAACACTCCTGCTGATACCTCCCAGAATGATGTTTGCTTTTTTTCCAACAGTGTTACACTCTTGACTCATATTTAGCTTGTGGTCCACTATTGACCCCCAGATCCCTTTCCGCAGTACTCCTTCCTAGGCAGTCATTTCCCATTTTGCTCCTTCCTAATTGGAGTGCTTTGCATTTGTCCTCATTGAATTTCATCCTATTTACTTCAGACCATTTCTCCAGTTTTTCCAGATCATTTTGAATTTGAATCCTATCCTCCAAAGCACTTGCAACCCCTCCCAGCTTGGTACCACCTGCAAGGTTTATAAGTATACTCTCTATGCCATTATCTAAATCATTGATGAAGATATTGAATGGAACCAGAGCCAGGACTGATCCCTGCAGGACCCCACTCAATATGCCATTACAGCTTGATTGTGAACCACTGATATCTACTCTCTGGGAATGGTTTTCCAATCAGTTATGCACCCACCTTTTGTAGCTCCACCTAGGTTGTATTTCCCTAAGTTTATGAGAAGGTCATGTGAGACAGTATTAGAAGCCTTATTAAATTCAAGATATACCAGATCTGCCACTTCCTCCCATTCACCAAGGCTTATTACTCTGTCAAAGAAACTATTCAGTTGGTCTGACATGATTTGTTCTTGACAAATCAATAGTGACTGTTACTTATTACCTTCTTATATTCTAGGTGTTTGCAAATTGATTGGTTGATTATTTGCTCCATTTTCTTTCCTGGTACTGAAGTTAAGCTAACTGTTCTGTAATTCCCTGGGTTGTCCTTATTTCCCTTTTTATAGATTGGCACTGTATTTGCCTTCTTCCAGTCCTCTGGAAGATAATTGCTAATGGCTCAGTTATCTCCTCAGTCAACTCCTTGAGCATTCTAGGATGTATTTCATCAGGCCCTGTCAACTTGAAGACATCTAACTTGTCTAAGTAATTTTTAACTTGTACTTTTCCTATTTTACATAAGAACATAAAAACAACCATACTGGCTCAGACCAATGGTCCATCTAGCCCATTATCCTGTCTTCCACCAGTGGTCAATGCCAGGTGGGATTCAGAGGGAGTGAACAGAACAGGCATTCACTGAGTGATCCATCCCCTATTACACACTCCCAGCTTCTGGCAAACAGAAGCTAGGGACTCAGAGGCTAGCTGCAGATCCTACCTCATTTTCACTAGCATTCACTATGTTAGACATCTGATCAGTACTAACCTTTTTGGTGAAAACTGAGACAAAAGTCATTTAGCACTTCTGCCAGTTCCACATTTTTTGTTATTATCTTTTCCCCGCTCACTGAGTAATCAGCCTACCCTGTCCTTGGTCTTCCTCTTGCTTCTAATGTATTTGGAGAATGTTTCATGAGGGGATGAGTGATTCCACCTAGCAATTCCTCTTGGGATCCTCCAAAAGACTTTTAGGGGAAAATTAGAAGATGGTGGCTGAATGAAAGAACAGAATACAAGAAGAAGCAAGCTTCACCATCCTGGCTGTCACCCCCACCATCTCTTGGGACGCTGGGAATCACCATGACACTGCTGGGCCTTTGTCATCCTGATCCTGAGAGATGTCCTGATGAGACTATGTCAGAGAGAGGGACCCAGATGACCCTGCCACCTCCATCAGCTAAATGCCAGCCATCACCTGGGATAGGAGACTTTGTCTCCCTTTCTCCCTCCGCCCAGCGGCATCCTTTGTTTTCCCTATCTTATTTATTTTCTTTCTATCTCTCGCCTTCTGTTTAATAACAGTCTGGCTTAGCTGGCCAAGACTGCATTTATTTATTTATTTATTTATTTATTTTTGCAACACTGCTGTAAGCCTACTGCCAGGAAGGTAGAAAAAAGCAATGTCTTAAACGGCCCAGTGCTGGTACAAGTTTGCCAGGTCTCAGATTGGGTGATCAGCCTATGTGCTGTGTTTCTCCATCAGCAAGATTGCAAATGAGAGTCAGCATCAGAAATAGAAGCATTTTCTATCTTTTCTGTTCCCTTTTATGTGTGTCTATGTTTTGTTTTCAAGAAAACTGGATCAGATTTTAGAGGCAGCTCCAGCTCCTCTCAGCTAACTTCTCTTTTCCCCACAAAGGACAGTTATTAACCTTTTTAATACCATCTAATATTGCCAGTTGGGGGTGTTCCTTCTAATAACTCTCTCCAGCAAAAGGGAAAGGGAACAAGAGATGTTATTAAAATGAAAGCCTGTGTAAAACTTTACATTTCAAATGCTTTGACTATTTTTCCTTCTTTTCTGTATCTTTAATAAAAGGTTAAAAGATTTGTAATGGTATGTTTGCCATGTTACTAAGCAGGCTGAGGTCTCTGTATACCAAACCCCGAACTGTTTAATGTTGGACAGTGACATGTTAACAGTGACTTTTGGGGCCCATATATTCCATCAAAATTAATACAACTGTTCCCCAAAAGATTCCCCTCCTCCCACACTCCAGTTGTGTCATCCCAAGAGATCCCACTTTATTTAAATTCTCCCTTCTTCTGGGTACACTGTGTCTGTCCATGTTTACAAAGTGTCTTCCTAAAATATCCCTTCTTTCCCCTCTCCAGGAGTTGATATGCTCTCTTGAGGGCCCTCAGAAGCGGGATTCCCTGGTTCAGAGTGTGTGGCTGGATGACAGTGTGGGCACACCCAGTAGTGCTAGCTCACCAGGTAAACTGTGCACCTACCTCCCTCTCTAGAACATGTGAGGGAGTGGAGAGGTAAAGAGACAGCAGCAGCACCTGTTCTCAGTACCCAGAATGGGAGGAGTACAGGGAGGTGAAGTGGAGTAGCAAAGGGCTGGAGAGGAACACAAACTAGTGAGGGAGCGTAGAGAAGGGGGACAGGGAGATGTGAGGAGAGAGTTGAGAATGAGGGCACTTAGGATGTTCACAGTATAAATGCTTTGATACATATGGGAGTGGGGAGATGGCGGGGGGGACTTTTAGGTAAATCCTGTGGACAGCATGTGTGTGTGTGTATACATATATACACACACACACACTATATACACATACACACAGAGACAGATTATAGACAGGGCTAGCAGACCTGTCTGCTATTATGGTTGCCTGCCACTTCCCATTATAAGACCCTGTTTTCATTTGCTTATAACTTTGTCAGACTTTAACTGTTTGGGCTGAAATTGCCGATGCTGGGTGTCTGCCTCAGGCTGATTTTGAGGGGGGAGGGGAAAGGGGGGAAAATTCAGTGAAATTGGTTTAGCTGTTTCTAGCAATTAGATTACCTTTTTTTCCCATGTTAAAAAAAAATCATGAGACTTTTCTCAGAACAGCTCTCACGCCCCCATGGTTTGGAGCAGGCAGGGATTAAAATTTGGAGCAGGAGGGTGTCAGGGATGTGACTTTCGCTATCCCTGTGAAAATCCAACCAAACTTGGCCAGATTAAAAGCCTTTGAAAAATCACACATGCTCAACACAGACTTGCTAGAGCTAAACAACTAAAATCTCTGAAGAGTCCATTGTCACTGAGCATACTGCATCCCCTCCTAGCACTGACCAGCAAATGCATGTGCCATCCCCACAGAGTGACTGAGCATGTTCTGTCCCCTCTCATCTTCACACATGACAGGACTGCACCTGTGCCACCTCCATGGAGCAATTCAGCATATTCCAACCCAGGGCTACAGGAGCTCAGACTGACTTCCCCTGTTGTTGATGCTTCCAGCTGCTCCAGACTGGGGTGGAGCTGGGCAGGGGCACTGGAACTGAGAGCAGGGAGCCCATTTCTCCTGTTCTGTCAGTGACACTGCACCCCCTTCCTGACAGACACCCAGGCAGAATGGAAAAGGAAGCCATTTTATTAGAATGCAGAGGGGCCAAGAGCTGGATGGGGGGATGGAAAAGAGAATATTGGGACAAGCTGTCTAGTGAGACTGGGACTGCAGGGGGAGGGAAACTGACTGTGAGTGGCAGGGGCCAGGTTGGGCATAGAGACTGGGACAAGGAGCTAGGGAGGGCCTGGGTGGGGAACATGAGATGGGATAAGAAGCTTAGGGAGGGAGACTAGGACTGGAAGCCAGTTTGCTGGGGAGTGGGGGGAGGCGGAGGGAAGGATGAGAGGGACAAATTGTATGAGGGGTTGGGAGGGGAAGACTAGGACTGGCTGAGCAAGGTGACTGGGATGAGAAGCCTGAAGAATGGAGACTGGGCCTGGGGAATGGAACCAGATAGAGTCTCTGCAGTAACAGGAGTTTCCCTCCCTGCAGGGCTATATATCAGGCTGACATTGATATTAAGTTAGGGTATGGAGCCAGACCTCAGGATTTCCAGAGCAGCAGCAGTGTCCCCCTCTCATTATATCCCATGTTCCCCTGGCAATGGTGATATGTTGGGTGGCACTCAGGTCCCTGCCTTGAGTGGTCTGATCTTATTGGGAGTAGTGGGGAAGAGATGATGTGTGGCAGGAGAACAGACTTGTACAGGGGCTGATGTTCCGGAACAAGGAGGCGCAGGAGAACCTGAGAAATTAGAGCTCTTAGTGATCTATTACAACTACTCCGATTTGAGAAGTAGGTCAGCAATTCAGTGTGTACAACTCTGAAACTCCACGGTGTCAGCTCATACTAAGATGGTGTAGACCAGTTTTTGTAGGATTCAGTTCATGTAAAGCCCCAGAGAATATTAACTCTGCCCTCTAGTGATGCCATGCAGCAACCATACAATTAAGATGGATGCCTAGCTGAGTTTGAGATCCCACATTAGACTAAACCAACTTTTGGAGCCAGTTTTTTCCGTATTGTTTCCTCTCATTTCTCCCTATAGGGCAGAGTTAAGGTTGTTTGGGAGTCCTAATTTAGCATGCTCAGACCTTAACATGTCCGCATGTCTTTGAAGTTTAACTTGAACTCTGAACCTGCTGGGGACATAATGCTTGTTTTGGAGATCATTACATCATCTCTATAATATTTTTTCACCCTAAAATGCTGCTCTGATCTCTCAACCCTTACTCCATTGTAATTCAATGATTGTCTGGGAAATATACAACATAAACTAGGGACTTCCACCCGATCCCAGTCAGTGCAGAGTCCATAAGAGGAAAAGGGAAGTAACATTTTACTGAAAAACAAGGCAGAGATTTCCAGTGCAATAACAAACAAGCAGATTGGTGCCCCAAAGGGATGAAGGGGGGAGAAGCAGCTCCAAATGCCAATTTCATGGTAGGGTGTTTTTTTTTTGTTTTGTTTAATTCTTCTCCTCTGCCCTGAAGTTCAGCAGGTAGGAGGGGTGGTGGGTAGTTCCAGCAGCAACATGGGGAATAGGAGTAATTAACAGCTACCACAACAGCACATTCCCCTCAGCAGCCAGCTAGGAACCCACATATTACGTTCAGTGATGGAGTCAGGCTGCAGGGTCTCCAGAGCAGTGGAACCAGGCAGCAGCATCTCTCCTATACTGCAGTATGACAAGAGGTGAATTCTGGGGGAGGAGCTTCAGATTTTCCACAGCAGCAAAGCGTCCCTTTCTGCCAGGCTAGACAGTACTCGCAAGGCTATATCCAGAATCAGAGTCTTCACAGCAGCAGTATGCAGTCTGTGCCTGCAGGGCTTCAGAGGAACCCATTAACAATGTCCATCGTAGGGGTGGAGCCAGGCCCAGCAGCAGAAGAGTGTTCTTGGCTGCAAGCCTATAGATCAACCTTTTTATAGATGTTATTTGTGGGATGGAGGCAGGCACCAGAGTCTCTGCAGCAGCAACAGTTTCCTTCCCCGTAGGGCTATATAGGTGCCTGGCATTGCTGTTGAACTTGGGGATGGGGGTAGGCCCAGGATTTCTGCTGCAGCAGCAGCAGTAAAAGAAGCAGCCTCAGCATATCCCTCTCATCCGGTCCCTGTAGCCCCCTGGCAATGGTGATACCCTGACTCCCTATCTTAAGTGGCCCCGTGTTATCGTCAGCAGTGGGGAAGGGGAGATGATGTGAGGTGACAGGAGACGAGGCTCACAAAGGCTCTGATATTCCGGCACAGGAGAACCTGAGGATGCTGGTGTTGAAACCCTGGAAGAAGAGGAGTCTCCAGCAGGGATTGTTGTTAGTACAGGGGAAGGAAGGAGCCACTTTTCAGGGCTGCTGTTAGTGGTGGAGCAGGAAAGAAGCCAGATAGAGGGGCTTGGTGTGAGGAAGGAGCCACAGAGCTGGGCTGGTCTCAGGGGATGAACTGAAGAAATAGACACTGAGGGGGCTGGTGTGAGGGACACGTGGAGAAGGAGCCACCTTAGAGGGCTATTAGTGGAAAGGGCCAGCAAAAGAGTAAGGGACAGAGGTGGGGATTAGCACAGCGGGGCCTGGTGTTTGGGGCGAGGGAGGAGATTCTGGTCTTTAATATCTCCACCCCTTGGGAGCTCTCTGTGGTTTGGGAAGGGCATCAGGAAGCCAAGCCCTAACTCCATGGAATGGTGGGGTGGCTGCCCTCAGACTTGGTATCAGGCATCACAGAAGTGTGAACCCTCTTGGCACCTGATGGTGGCAGGGCTTTCACTGTGCCTCCATGGCAGTTGTACAGGGGCAGGTCTCTAAAGCATCCAAACTGGCCCAGGTGACAGGAGGCATCTCCCTGCCACACCCTGAGTACATCAACACTGCCTCTGCACAAGTGGCAGGGAGTAGGGGCCCAGGAAGAGGGATTGGAAACTGGTGGGATTTCTGCACCCGCAGGGAGAGACAGACACAAATGGGGACTGAGGAACCAGGGTAAGTTCTGATTAACCTACTTCACTTTTGTAGTGAATTTTGTTGTGTGAGCAGTAGGTGTATTGTGTAGGCAGTAAAAGCACCAGTGCCCTGTGGTTAGATGTGATCCCACCTCGTCCACAGGCCTTGTGGTATTTATGGACAGTCCAGGACTCCTGGACAGTACCCCACTCCTCCTTGCTTCCAGAAAGGGAGTGAATAGGATCAACAGTTTCATCCAGCCAGGTCACCTCCTCCTAGCTGGCCTCTATCCTTGCCTCACAGAACTTGGTCCCATCTAACCATACAGCCTTTTTATTAAACTGCTTCAGACTCCTCACTTCTCTCCCCTCCCCTCCTTTACACCCTGCTGCCTCATCACATTCACTTTGGTCCCATCCTAGAGCTGAGCCAGAGCCATGAAGTTCAGATCCAAACCACACCTGAATATGAGGATGTCCAGGCCCATCTCTGTCCAATCCTCCCACTTGGGAAAACCTCTGTCACCCCATATCTCCTTCCGCCAACAAGAGTCAGGCTCTCTTGCTTACCTGCTCCCCTGTCAGCCCGTATAGCAGGGGAGTGGAAGCTGGTTGACTCCCTGGACATCTCTGTTTGTGTAAGAGACCCTGGAGATAAATCTCTCAGAGGCTGGTGGATCATGCCCCAACATTTGCAGTCAGGATTAGACACTCCATAGTTAATGGTAATGTTCAGCTCCGGACTTTCCTTGAGATTTCCCTCCTGCTGGCTGTGGGTGGGTGGCTATGCCTAACAATTGCATGCTAAGGGGCCAGTGATCTAGTACCACTTCATAGCTCATCCGTGGACTTAAAGGCAGCTCCTGACCTTGCTCCCCTAGTTAGCAACGGTTTGTCAAAAAGATAGAGAACAGGAAAGCCGGTGTGAAAGTGCAGAAGGGAATGCAGATTTGTACCTCGGTTGCTGCCCTGCACCATGGGAGATCCAAGCTTAAAATGGGAAAACCCTGCAGACGTTATCACAGCCAAATGATAATAAAAATGAAAGCTCAAGAAGCAGGATAGAAATGGTCCCTGGGGGTAGACTGTTGATTGCAGACTCCATTTAAAACAGAAAAGGGTCTGTGATGTCATCACACCCAACAGTCTGAGTCTTGTCACAGCAATGCAGAAAGGAAGGGTCTGTGGGATGGATAGAGCCCTTTGGGGATGGATGGGGCCTTTCCTAGAGATGTTGGAGGGGTTTGAGATGGAATGTAATGAGATTGGGAGTAAATAAAAGTGGGGAAGTGTTTTCCTAGGGAGTGTTTTCCTATTTCCTAGGGAGTGTGGGGAAAAAACTGGGGCAAGGATATTTAGATTTATGCAAGTGATAAAAACAGCACATGGTGCTCTTGACGGAATGTAAAAAATACATCACAAAAATACCCTGAGTGCAGCAGTACAATTTAATATTCCCAGACAAAATGACATTAAAATAAAGATAAGGTTGCAAGCACAAATTAGTAATTCAGCATACTCTATGTTACAGGGGTGATGTATTTATGCCAAAACTGAGCACTATGGTACTGAAATGTGGTGGGATGATTCCCATAATTGGAATGTTAAAATCAATGGTTATAACCTATTTAGGAATGTCTAAGTGGGCAAAAGGAGGAGTGGCAGTCTGTCAAAAATGGCATTATTTGTTTCCGATTCACTGATACCTCAGAAGAAAGTGATCTTGAGTGCTTATGGATCAATGTCCTAACTGGTAAAGCATGAGATTGAGAATTAGTTGGTATCTGCTATAGATGACCAAATCATAATAAAGAACAGGAAGATTGGTTCCTTATACACCAATGTATAATGTGTAGGAGGAAAAAAGTCTGCGTGATAATCGGGGATTTCAATTTGAGTGACATATGCTGTGGGTCTCATACTGCCAATACTAAAATATCCTGGAATTTCTAGGTATTATAGATGACAATTTCCTAACTTACAAAGTGTTGCATCCAACCCAGGGGAGTTCTATATTAGATCTCCTTTTGAGAGATAATGAAGAATTGATCACAAAACTAAAAATGAACAGTAACTTAGGTACAAGTGATCATGACTTAATCATATTTAGATTATGCAAACAGAGTAAAGTCCAGACCAGTGCTGTATATATTTGGTGCTTTAAGATGGCTGATTTGACAAAGCAGAAAACAATTATGAGAGAAACAGCTGGGAGGAATAATGCAATCAGAAATGTGAATGATAATTGGGAATTGTTTAAGAACACCTTACTAGATACTCAAAAAGCCACAATCCAACAAACAAGGAAGAAGGCCATATTGGTTAAAAAACTGACATGGTTTAGAGGGGAAATGAAGGCAGCTGTTAAAAAATATATAACAAATGAAAGTAAGGGGAAGTTCACAGGAATGAATATAAATCAGAATCTAGCAAATATAGAAAATTGATAAGGGAAGCAAAGGGACACAAAGAGAAATCTATGGCCAGCAGAGTTAAGGACAACAACTTATAATGATTATTATCAATAATAATGCAAAAAAGGCAGAAGTGTTCAAAAATATTTGTTCTGTAGTTGGGGGGGAAGATGATGTAATCAGTCATAACAAATGATAATACTATTCACAGTCCATTAGTATCTCAGGAGGATATTAAACAGAGGCTACTAAAGTTGGACATTTTAAAATCAACAGGTCCAGATAACTTTCATCCAAGAGTTTTAAAAGAGCTGGCCGAGGAGCTTGCTGGACTGTTAATGTTTATTTTCAATACGTCTTGGAATACTGGGGAAGTTCCAGAAGACTGGAAGAACACTTAACATTGTGTCATTATTTAAAAAGGTTAAACGGGATGACTTCGGTGATTATAGGTCTGTCAGTCTGACAGTGATCCTAGACAAGATAATGGCGTGGCTGATAGAGGCCTCATAAAGAATTAAAGGAGGGTAATGTAATTAATGCCAATCAACATGGGTTATGGAAACAGATCCTGTCAACAAACTTGATAACTTTTATTTATAAGATTACAAGTTTGGTTGATAAATGTAATAGTGTTGATGTAACAGACTTCTGTAAGCCATTTGACTTGCTACCACATGACATTTTGATTAAAAAAACTGGAAAAATATAAAATTAACCTGGCACACATTAAATGGAGTTAAAGCTGGCTAACTGATAGGTCTCAAAACATAATTGTAAATGGGGAATCATCATCGAACAGGTGTTTCTAGTGGAGTCCCACAGGGATTAGTTCTTGGCCCTATGCTATTTAACATTTTTATTCATGATTTGGAAGAAAACATTAAAATAATCACTGATAAAGTTTCACAAAAATTGGGGGAATGGAAAATTATGAAGGGAATAATGACACTCACTGACAGAGAGTGGTCTGGATCACTTAGTAAGCTGGGTGCAGGCAAACAGTATGTGTTTTAATATGGCTGAATGTAAATGTATACATCTAAAAACAAAGAATGTAGGCCATACTTATAGGATGGGGGACTCTATCCTGGGAAGCAGTGTCTCTGCAAAAGATTTGGGGGTGGGGTGGATAATCAGCTGAACATGAGCTCCCAGTGTGATGCTGTGGCCAAAAAGAGCTAATGCAATCCTGGGGATGTATAAAAAGGGGACAAATTGGAGAGAGTCCAGCAGAGGGCAACGAAAACGATTAGGGGGCTGGAGCACATGACTTATGAGGAGAGGCTGAGGGAACTGAGCTTATTTAGTCTGCAGAAGAGAAGAGTGAGGGGGGATTTGATAGCAGCCTTCAACAATCTGAAGGGGGGTTCCAAAGAGGATGGAGCTAAGCTGTTCTCAGTGGTGACAGATGACAGAACAAGGAGCAATGGTCTCAAGTTTCAGTGGGGAGGTCTAGGTTGGATATTAGGAAAAACTATTTCACTGGGAGGGTGGTGAAGCACTGGAAATGGGTTACCTAGGGAGGTGGTGGATTCTCCTTCCTTAGAGGTTTTTAAGACCCAGCTTGACAAAGCCCTGGCTGGGATGAGTTAGTTGGGGTTGGACCTGCTTTGAGCAGGGGGTTGGACTAGATGACCTCCTGAGGTCTCTTCCAACCCTCATCTTCTATGATTCTTCTCTGAATCTCGAGCAGGGCCAGATTAACTTTTTGTGGGCCCCCCTGGGCAATGAAGGGACCAGGGGCAAAAGCATAGTGGGCAGGGTGGATTTGATTTAAATCATTAGTCAGGAAGACTCGACTTAATCATGGTTTTCTACATAAAAGTGCATTCTTGTTGGTTGTTACAACCTTAATACATATTCTTCACATCTCAGAGATAGATGTAGGTTTAATTTTTAGAAGGTACATACTATACATTTTTAAACAATGATTTATTTTGAAAACTTTTCAGATGAGTTTTACAGCTATATCAGAAAATAAATCAATGTTTGGTTATTTCATTTACCAAAGGTAAAGCAGATATTTATGAAGACATTGGGAGGTGAACTATCTCCAGTTCAACAGGGTTAATCATTAATATTTGGAGGATTTTCTTGCCACACTGTATTAGGAGGAGAACATCATCAGGCAGACATTTAAATTGTTTTATTTAACTAAAACAACAACGTTAAGTATTCTGGATTTTTTTCTTCAACAGCAAACATATAATTTTTTAACAAAAAAAGCATATGTCCCTCGCTTCTCACATTTATCTCCAGACTTCTCCTAGTCCAGATCTATTCCGCCCCCCAACAATCTTCTATTCAGTGAACATTTTGAAACTTTGTACTTTTAGACAGAGGTAAGGGATTGATTCTGTGTACACAAATTTGCAGCGGGACAATAGAGTTGAGATCTGTTATTTCTCGCTATATATTATTTATTTATTTTAAAACATTTTTTCTGTTAACAAGCATGTTATCTCTGGAGACACAAATCCACAATTGGAGAACTGCAAAACTAAGCATCTCTGATGGTATCTTCTAGACTGAGCACTGAGTCCCATTGGGTAGATAGAAAGATAAACCTAAGTAATCTATACAGAAGCCTGTGGAACCCCATAAAATTGGGTCCCTAATCCATGAACTATTAGAACTCATTTACAAAACTTTTCTTAAACATGACATTAATATATTGTCTTATACTACAGAATTAGAATTTATAATCCCTATTCCATGATGAGATATCTTTGAGCTACAAGAAAAGGAGTACTTGTGGCACCTTAGAGACTAACCAATTTATTTGAGCATAAGCTTTCGTGAGCTACAGCTCACTTCATTGGATGCATACTGTGGAAACTGCAGAAGACATTATATACACAGAGACCATGAAACAATACCTCCTCCCACCCCACTCTCCTGCTGGTAATAGCTTATCTAAAGTGATCACTCTCCTTACAATGTGTATGATAATCAAGTTGGGCCATTTCCAGCACAAATCCAGGTTTTCTCACCTTCTGCCCCCCCCCCCCACCCCAACTCACTCTCCTGCTGGTAATAGCCCATCCAAAGTGACCACTCTCTTTACAATATGTATGATAATCAAGGTGGGCCATTTCCAGCACAAATCCAGGTTTTCTCACCACCACCCCCTTTTTCCAAAAACCACACACACAAACTCACTCTCCTGCTGGTAATAGCTTATCCAAAGTGACCACTCTCCTTACAATGTGTATGTAAATCAAGGTGGGCCATTTCCAGCACAAATCCAGGTTTTCTCACCCCCCACCCCCATACACACACAAACTCACTCTCCTGCTGGTAATCGTTCATCCAAAGTGACCACTCTCCCTACAATGTGCATGATAATCAAGGTGGGCCATTTCCAGCACAAATCCAAGTTTAACCAGAACGTTGGGGGGGGGGGGAGGAAAAAACAAGGGGAAATAGGCTACCTTGCATAATGACTTAGCCACTCCCAGTCTCTATTTAAGCCTAAATTAATAGTATCCAATTTGCAAATGAATTCCAATTCAGCAGTCTCTCGCTGGAGTCTGGATTTGAAGTTTTTTTGTTTTAAGATAGCGACCTTCATGTCTGTAATTGCGTGACCAGAGAGATTGAAGTGTTCTCCGACTGGTTTATGAAGGTTATAATTCTTGACATCTGATTTGTGTCCATTTATTCTTTTACGTAGAGACTGTCCAGTTTGACCAATGTACATGGCAGAGGGGCATTGCTGGCACATGATGGCATATATCACATTGGTGGATGTGCAGGTGAACGAGCCTCTGATAGTGTGGCTGATGTTATTAGGCCCTGTGATGGTGTCCCCTGAATAGATATGTGGGCACAGTTGGCAACGGGCTTTGTTGCAAGGATAGGTTCCTGGGTTAGTGGTTCTGTTGTGTGGTATGTGGTTGTTGGTGAGTATTTGCTTCAGGTTGGGGGGCTGTCTGTAGGCAAGGACTGGCCTGTCTCCCAAGATTTGTGAGAGTGTTGGGTCATCCTTCAGGATAGGTTGTAGATCCTTAATAATGCGTTGGAGGGGTTTTAGTTGGGGGCTGAAGGTGACCGCTAGTGGCGTTCTGTTATTTTCTTTGTTAGGCCTGTCCTGTAGTAGGTGACTTCTGGGAACTCTTCTGGCTCTATCAATCTGTTTCTTCACTTCCGCAGGTGGGTATTGTAGGGAGAGTGGTCACTTTGGATGAACTATTACCAGCAGGAGAGTGAGTTTGTGTGTGTATGGGGGTGGGGGGTGAGAAAACCTGGATTTGTGCTGGAAATGGCCCACCTTGATTTTCATACACATTGTAAGGAGAGTGGTCACTTTGGATAAGCTATTACCAGCAGGAGAGTGAGTTTGTGTGTGTGGTTTTTGGAAAAAGGGGGGGGGGGGGGTGAGAAAACCTGGATTTGTGCTGGAAATGGCCCAACTTGATTATCATACACATTGTAAGGAGAGTGATCACTTTAGATAAGCTATTACCAGCAGGAGAGTGGGGTGGGAGGAGGTATTGTTTCATGGTCTCTGTGTATATAATGTCTTCTGCAGTTTCCACAGTATGCATCCGATGAAGTGAGCTGTAGCTCACGAAAGCTTATGCTCAAATAAATTGGTTAGTCTCTAAGGTGCCACAAGTACTCCTTTTCTTTTTGCGAATACAGACTAACACGGCTGTTACTCTGAAACCTTTGAGCTACAATGTATCTTAACTAAAACTATTTTTAGGTAGGTTTTTTCTCCTCAAAAAGCATTTTATCAAAAAAATCCGATTTAAATTTTAAAAAAATCTGATTTTTTTAAATTGATTTTTATCCACCCTGACAGTGGGGCATGGTGTCAGGGGGAGAATTGGTCCCCAGCTGGAGTGAGGCAGGGGCCAGGGGCAAGATGAGCACAGTGGGGCATGGCAGGAGGATTAGTCTGCTGACTGGAGCAAGGCAGGGGCTGGGGGCAAAAGCACAGCGGAAAGGGAGCTAGGGTTGGTCCCTGGAGCAAGGGAGGGGCCAGGGGTAAACTGCAAGCACAGCGGGGCTGGGGAAGGGGTAAACAGGAGCCCTCCCCCCCGCCGCTGTCCACATAAAGTGGGTACCTACAGTCTCCATGGTTCTAACCCATTCCCTTCATCTCCCTCTGCCAGTGTGAAGAAATGAGAATGTTCTTAATGTTTTCTTTGAATACTGTGTGGGTGCCTCAGTTTCCCCTATGTATTTCTTAAGAATCTAGGTGGTGGGATAAGGGTGTGTGATTGTTGCAGAGCCCTAGGCAGGTGTGATGCTGTCTGCACAGAGAATGGCTGACACCGTCTCCTGGCAACTGATGGCCCGGGCCCCTCCCCTACAAGGTGCCAATTGAAGGTGTTGGAGAACAAAGAGATCAGGTGACCTCCTGGCCCGGGAAAGAGTCAAAGGTCAGAGGACGGGCTGGAGGGGGTTGCAGTTTGGAGCTGGCTGGGGAAACGGAGGGAGGCTGAGGGGTCCTGTTTTCTGTACCTATAAGCTTTGTTTTGGACTGTGTTCCTGTCTTCTAATAAA